ATTTCTATATACTATACTTGTATGTATTCAATGTTATATACAAGCAGTTTCTTGGCACGCAACCCACGCACCGACGCACAATGAAGAAGCAAAAACATTAACAGCAACCACCAAAATGGTTCCCCATACCCAATACTATGAAGGGTGGCTACACCAACAAACAAACACATCACCACCACAACCACCACCAGCACTAGAACCACTACCACCCAATAGAGCAACAACAGCCAAAATCCTTGCAGCTTTAACCGTTGTCGTCATAGATGTGTGTGTGTGTGTGTGCGTGTGCCTTGTTGTCTGTTCCATTCCACGCATTCCTCTTCTCATTCACAGCCACCTTAACATTACATTTCGTTTTTTGGCAACTCTGTGCCAAGAAGTATAGCGCGTAGGCTCCAGAAAATATGCAAAATTCAAACATTTACGGCCCATTTGAAAAGTTTGGGCTGGCACACAGTCTCTGCTATTTATAAACTGCCTGCTGCCGCCTTGCCGTTGCCATTGGATTTACTTTATTGAAATATTTAAATAAGTTTGTCGATTTGAACAGCCTAAATGGGATTACCAGAAACGTCGTTCCCATGCATACAAATATACTTATGTATGTATGTGTATGTGCCCACAGCTTAAGCGTTGCCTGCCTTATGGCGCAGTGCCCAAAAAAGGGTGCGTTTGTATGTGTGTCTCCGGTTGTGTGTGTGTGTTTGTTGGGGCGTTGGCGTTGACTGAAATTGACATTTTATAAATGGATTTTTTTCTTGCGATTTTCGTTACTTTCCTTTTGGCTTGGAAGCAGTGGTTGGTGGGGTAGGGGGGTTGCTGATTTTATTTTTATTTAAAATTTAAAGCAGCAACGCATTTTAAAAAGGCAATGAAAACAACAAAATGGCGCGCACATTTAAATGCTTATTTTTATTTTAATGTGCAGCTCTCGCGCTCTAAAATGTGAAAATTATGCGCTAACAGTGCGTTTTTTAGTGTGGACTGAAACCCCTTTCGGTTCTACTTCTCCATCTTATTATTTTTTTGTTGTTGTCACACGTGCCTACCTTTGGAAAAACACTCGCACTGTGTACTGTGTGCCGCGTCCTGCCCCCCTGCTGCGGTTAGACCACAAGGGCGGCGCAGAGAGCGCCACAGGAGACAATTCTGTGACTTCAGGCAGGCGGCAGGAAGGCAGGCAGGCAACCAAGAGAGATCATAAAATAAAAGGCATGCGATGCAGTCGCATTGATAAGAGTGATAGGCGTGCGAGCATTTAATATAAATAGTAGTGACAAAAAGCAGCTGCTGCCAAAATTTGACTAATTAGCGTTTAAGGTTTATATGGATTCGACACAAAAGTTTACAGTCCTCTCCAGACACTAAATTGTGCGGTGTAGATAATAACCAATACTTGATGGTATTAAATAATTAAGCAGAAATTCTAAGAGAAAGACTACAAATTGTCAGTTACATTTGTAGACAAATTTAATAGTTCTAGTTCAAGCTATGTGCTTGTGGCACTGTTAGTTAACAGTCAACTGTTAAAACATATGATCTGTTATTAATTATTAGGTTTCTGTTAATACAGTTTTTTTAAGTTTACTTTAATATTTGGATCATACAAGAGTGTATTTATATTTATTTAAAAAAAATGTTATATGTTTATATATAAAATATATAAACATGAAAGCGTATAAATGTACAGAATAAAATGATAAAATATAATATATATAAAATAATACAATAAAATGAAATATCTTATATAAAAAGTTTTTTAGAATAAATATAATATAGAAGAACTGAATAAAATACGTTAATAATGAAAATAAAATATTAATAATACCAAAATTTATAGCTAATACTTCTGTCCTACTTTCTGTCCTACTTTTGTCTTTTGTTAGTAAGAGACTAACAATATTTATTTGTTATTTATTAAATTGTATATAATTTGGACCATTTTACTTACTTACTAGGATATTTTATTTATTTATTAATTTTTTGTTTCATTTTATTTAGTATTTATTTAATCTTATGTAAGTTGAACTTACATAATTTCCATAACAAGTTTGCTTCTGTCGAATATCTGAGGCCGAATTTCCCAACACCAACAACTAAATTCAACCCCGTTTTCAATTTTAACGAACTGACCTTTCTCTCTCACTCTGGCGCCTGGTGTTATGCTTATTATATAAAAATTACAAACAAACAAAAGCATAACTGTGCGAGTATGTACAAATAAGCCGACACTTGACATTTAACCAAACTTTTGGAGTCCCAGATCGGTTACACTCTCATAATCGAGCGCATCCAAATGCATTCGTTCCGCTTGTTTGTCATTCAAAACTTATTCACGTGCACGGCGGCTTGTCAAAATAATTGAAGCGCGCGCACAATTTCATTGTAGTTGGCCCAAAACACCTAATATGTAGATTTCTATATTGTGTGGCTGTTAAATTTTGACAAATTAATAGAAAAAGCTGACCAGATAGTAAGTAAATCAAATAAAGCGACAGGCCACCACTCAAGACTTATTGTGCGCCTCAAATGAGGAAGGGGGAAGGGGGGAGGGGAAGGAGAGGGAGAGGGAGAGGTGAGTTATAAAGTTAATGCAAATGTGGACAGCTAATAAAGCACATAAATTAGTATTAAATTACAACTGGCAAAAGAAATCATTATAAAGCAAAAATAAAATGAAGAAAAGAAGAAACTGAAACTTGTTGAGCGCCAAACAGACACAACTCATAACTAAGTGTGTGTGTGTGTGGGTTTGTATATGAGTGTGTGTGTGTGCACTGCTGGACGCCTTTTACAGCGCACAAAGCCCATGACAGATAACAGCTTTTCAGCATTGCCTGCCCCTCCTGACAACTGCCTTCTGTCCACTGCCAACCATTTTTAAGCTCAAGGTGTGAAAATTTTCGATTATTGTCAAAACGACGCGACTTTTGCCTGAATACTCGTAATCCGGACAGTCGGCTGGAGTGGCACACACACACACACACACACATACATACATGCACATGTGTGGGTTGCCGTTGCCCCAACGAGGCAGCTTAGGCTGCAATTGTCATAAAGCGGACGCATAATGGCCGCTTAGCTTGTGCGTAAATGCCATGCTAAATGGATTTTCTCAAGTGTTTGATATATGTATGTATGTATGTTTCGAGAAAAAAAAAAACAGAAAAAAGAGCAACTGCATTCGTTGTTTGTGCATCTCAATGAAGTTTTATGTTCCGGTTATTGAAACTGATGGTCGATTTGGTTTGGTTTGGTTTGTTCAACACAATTGTGTAGGCGATTTGTTGATGGTCTCTCAAAGAGGTACCACATATGGAGGCCTTACAATAGCAGTTGACATTGCAGAGGAAGAACAACTATTTTATGGTGCAATAAGTGGTTTGCATTGCAATGTCATTCATTAGTTCTTCATCGTCAGAACAGAACATAAAATTGTCACACTATGAAAATACTCATAGTTTCTGAGTCTGATTTTTTACCGATTGATATGCCACTTTATTTTCAATACAATCGATAACTTTGCAGATTATTTATCGTTTGCAACCATAACTTTGCAAACATTTAAAGCTACTTTGTGGATATTAAATTATTAATTATTAAAGCAGTAACGTGCCTTTTAGCAGCAACCATACTGTACTACTATACGGTTTGTGCCTTTACTTAATGCACGCTAATGATCGATTGCAGGGCAGCTCAGTTATCGATTGCAGCCCTCGCCCTTAAGCTTTGTAGGGATCTCTCGTGAAATGTTGGCAAAATTAAATGTATTCCATAATACCTATGTACCATATATTACATTATTACATGTAAAGAGTTCGCTTCCAAGAACACGCTTCTTTCATTATTGCATTACTGATTCTTCTTTATACTTCTTATCGATAGGGCCCTGCAGCATTTCACTTCTGATTACATACTATAAGGTTAAATAAAAAATTACAGCTATAAATCATAAACACATTCACATTCTTCGAATTCATATTAATTGCTCCTGATTTAACTTATAATTATGGTTGTTGGTATTTCGTATTAAAGTCCAACCTAATCTAAGCCCTTCGGATTAGGTCAACTCTTTATCTCTCTCTTACGCTCAACAGATATCAGAATTGGTTCCCCACTCGCTCACTCGCCTATCGGTCAGTCTAGTTATGGTTAACAATCGAACAAATAATTTTCTAATAAGCCATAAAATATCACTTCTATCCCTTGCTGACTGCTCCAAACATATAACCTTTGCTGTTCGACCATCGAACCATAGGTGTTACACACTTCGCCCAATAATAGCTGTTAAGCATTTGACCTTTTTCCTCTTCTTCGCCAGCAGTTTACCCTTGCCTTGTGTACCTTTTTTGTGCCGAACTCGTCCGACAAAGGACAACGCACAGGTGAATTCTTTGTTGGGTGTCCAACACTCGATTGGCCAGCGACAGGGACAGGGAGAGCGCGAGCGTGCGAGAGAGAGAGGGAAAGGCTCGCCCCTCGGCGCTGTTGATTTCAAACAATGCAACTTGATCCCGCATAATTTATATGATTTTTCTCTATAAAAAAGTCGGACAGACACATGAGTTTTCCCACCTTTATTAAATTGTATTGACTGCTCGGTCTTGGGCTCCGTCTCTGGCTCGGGCTCGGGAGAAGGGGGATAACGAGCGAGTCTATAAAAATGTGCGGCAATAAATAGGCACCTTTTATTTTTGTTGTTATTGTTGTTGCTGTTGCATTATTATTTTTGGTTGGCGTATATTATTTATTTTATGTCAGGCACATAAATAATGTCATTTATTGCTCGGCCCGCTAAGAAGAACCAGCACTGACATTTTCTTTGCCAGTTTTTCTTTTATTTTCTTTTCCAGCTACCTCAACACAATGGAGTGTGAGAGTGTGTGTGTGTGTCTATGTGTGTGACACTCTTTACATTTCCACAACACCTTTAAGACACAATTCTTGAGTTGTCTTTGGCTCCACTAACTAACTTTTATTGTTGCTTTGCATATTTACAGGCGAGAAGCCCTTCAAGTGTGAGCACGAGGGCTGCGACAGACGCTTTGCCAACTCGTCGGACCGCAAAAAACATTCGCATGTGCACACCTCGGACAAGCCCTACAATTGTCGGATCAATGGCTGTGATAAGTCCTACACGCATCCCTCGTCTCTGCGCAAGCACATGAAGGTAAGTTGAGGTCTAAAAGGACGATGCTGATACTATTCATATTTATTCACCGATATAGGTAGGAAAGAAAGAAACGTTTTTTTCATTTTCAAAGTTTTTTATGCAACAATTGGAAATATAGTTAGCTAGTTATTGGTTGTTTTTCCTTTTTTGTAAGTAGACCAAAGTTGCCTTATCTAAAAAGTTGCAATTAAAAGTTCATTATTTTTAAATCTAATTAAGTATATCAATCGAAATATTTGCTTTAACTTAATTATTTAATCTTAAATAGTTAATATGTAATTATTTGTAAATGATTAGTTTCCGAATATGACGTAGTTTCCATCGTCAGCTGCTCTGTTTGTTCTCCACATTTCAATTCCATTTCATTCCTTATAATTTTGAGAGATCAAAAACCTTCGTAAACGGAACGATAAATTATCGATCGCTTTAATAGGTTAATGATAGTTAAATAAAAAGTTAGATTTCAATACTAATAAGTATTGAAATTATTCTCTGAGTGCAAAGATAAAAGGATATGCTAGTTTTCTGAGAGGAATGACGTATGTACATATAATAAACCAATATAATATAATAGTGAAAAAAACATATCTTAAATAAATCCATTAGAATTCGTTCCAATTTTTAATGCAAAAATACTTCAATACTTCAATCTGAGTGTAGAACATATTAAGCTTTATTAGAAGAGAGCAGCGCAACACTTTCCTGCCCATCTGTATTTATAAAATATATCACAAATATTTGAAAAATCCTTTAATCATAACAGCATTTAGCTATTTCTTATTTAGTCTATTTACAAGATATTAATTAGATATATGTTCTATATCTTCAAACTCACACACTAATGACGTCCCTGCTACTTGCCTTCTTCTTCTTCTTTTGAATAGGTGCATGGCAACATTGATGAAAAGTCACCATCGCATGGCTACGATAGTGAGGGCGAGGAGAGCTCCAGCTCCAGCATAGTGACTGGCGGAGCACAGACTCCGCCCTCGGCGCGTCTCACCGTAGATGGTTCGTTGTCCGGCGGCAGCGCGGGCAGCAGCAGCGGCGTCAGCAGCCTGAGCGGCGGCAGCGGCATCAAATCCTCACCACACTCGATCAAGTCGGAGCCAAATCCCATGCATAGCGTCCATCTGGGTGCGTCGAGCAGCGGCAGCAGCAGCACAGCGAGCAGCACATCGCATCTGCTGCAGCAGCATGGCGGTGGACAGCACGGACAGCAGCATCAGCAGCTGCATGCGAGCGGCATCTCAGGCAGTGTCGGCAGTGGCAGCAGCAATGCTCATCTCTCCTCGAAATCCTCACCCGCTTTGCAGTTAATGGCCTCCTCCGCGTATTTGCCGCCGCCCTTGGGACCTCCGCCCTCGCACCACCACCACCATCATCATCACGCTCAGGTGGCAGGTGCGGGCACAGCCGCAGTGGCGGCGGCGGCAGCCACAACGGGCAGCAATGCGGCAGCGGCCTCCATGCTGGCGGTCACTGCTGGCCATCACAATCATCACTTGCTCTATCATCCGGCCGCGCAGCATCATCCGCCCAGCGATTGGTATCATACAGCCGCCCCAGCCTCTGGTGCGGATGCGATGAATCCGCTGAACCATTTCGGACACCACCACCATCACCATCATTTGATGCATCCGGGCGCGGCGACTGCGTATTGAGATTGGGAGAACTGGTGGTCGGATGAGTTGGCTGCGCCGCCACCACCACCACCACCACCGCCGCCGCCCCCTCCTCCGTCGGCGCCTGTTGCGACTGCCGTAGGCTTCGGAGCCCCCAGCGAGGAGTCCACATCTATCGACTGGATCTGCTGCAATCGATTGCAGAATCTGGCGCTTGCCGCACATTGTGAAAACCAAATATTTCTGAAAGTTGAAGAAAACACTTTGAACTTTTTACCTGATAATTGAAAAATTGCTGTTATTAACTAAATATGAGAATAATATTGTATGTAAACCTTAAATCTACAAAACTATAACTTGCAACTTCAAATCGCAGCGAACAAGAGTTGAAAATACTTTAAAACAAATACTATTTAAACCTAAATTAGATATATATGTATGTACATATATGTACTACAAAATTGCCTAATTTTTTTCGCGCTATTTAAATGTTGCGTTAACTTAAATGTAGTTGTAGTTGCTTTTGTTTCAGCGGTGCAGATTGAATATAATTATTGTAAATTATGAAAACAAAATACTTTATACACACACCACACATAAATCTATATGTATATTTAATTATTAACTTTACTTGCATTAGTTCTAAGTATATTGACTATTTAACTTAAGATTTAGCGAATTTTTCCAGCTGCTTTTCATAGTACGAGAATTATGCGTAAAAAACAAAACAAACGATTTGATTAACAAAAGAAGAAAAAAAAAACACATTTTTAAAAAAATGAACTCACAAGCTTTCTAGTACAAAAGTTAAAAATACTAAAAAAAAACTATTGAAAACAAATTTGCGTCTATAAAGTAATACAAGAAAGGAAGAAGAAGAAACAGTTGGTTGAGCAATGTAACATAACAACCAGAAAGATGGAAGCTATATACGTACATACATTTTCGGCCTTAGATTTCTCAAGCTTAAGTACACGAAATAAAAAACGAAACAAAAACAAAACCACAAACACGAAGAATAAATTTATAAAACTATGCAAAAAACACAGTGGAAATTATTATACCTTTTTATTTGGAGGGAAATCGGAGCTGGCTTGGGACTGTTACAGAGTGCGAAAGAATGGCGAACCTTATCGCATTATCTCTTGCGCATAATAAAATGGTTCGGATCCTTATCTCTCACGTAATGTCATCATTTATGGAGAGCTTGTCGCACCACTTATGGCAGAAGAAATTTTACGACTTGATCGAAATTATACAAAAACCTTCTTAAAAATTAAAGATACAGTTTGCAAATTAACTCTACTTTAGATTCCATTGCTAATTCCTAAAAAGTATTCATTTCCATAAATATTCTTGTATTTTAAAATATTTCAACTTTTGTCTAATTTGTTATAAATATTCATCGCATTCTTTCTACAAGATGGTGAATGAAAAGAATATAATTATGAGAAAACTTAATTAAAACCAATGAATTCTAAATTCAATAATAAAATAAAATTTATATAAACAATATCCATACAAATTGGAATCACTCCTCTGTTAATATTTATATGTATATGAGATCCTCTTAGATTTCTTTATATATTATATATATATTTTTTTGTTTTGTTTTGCTTTTGTACTTATTTAAAAATATTGAGAAACTTGTGGTTCCACACTCTTTATATTTTTATTCGCTTCACTTATTCTTTAGTAGAAAAATATTTTCTTTTTTTTTGTTTCCTATCAACTTATTTGCAAGCTTAAATTTTTTTGAACAAACTATGGTAATAATTTTTAGAAAGCAATGAACAAAATCTGTTACATTTTTAAAAAATTGTGTTTTTTTTCGTCAACTAACCATAAAAAAATTCTAATGGGAAAATGTTCATTTGCGCTGTTTAGGAAACATTAATTTAAATTTATAAACTTTTTCTTTTAAATTTTGGATACCAATTAAATGTGTATATTTGATTTATTTTTGGTTCCATTTCATTTTGAACGAAATGAGTGCAATTTAACTTTAACATCTGTTGGCAAATATAGAAATAATAGGTCTTATTGATATTGGATTCAAAATTCTTAATCGATATACTTATACTAACGATGTCGAAGTTTTTGTGGAACGGGTGCGGAAAGTGTGCAAAATGTTTTTTCTGTCGCCAATTTCGGATGCAGTTTTTGGGTCGTATAGCCGAAAAAATGTTATCACGTTAGTTTTAATCAGAACTGGACTCATCCCTAAATTATGTGAGAGTATGGAAGTATACGCATAGTGTCTTCATTTCAATCATACATATTTATAAAACATTATAACAACAGAACAGGCTCGATCATGTGGGAGCCTCGTGCATTTTTCAACAATTGTAATATATATTTAAATTTTGGTGCGCATTTATAGGAAATCAGACTCGCTTAGCATTTAAAATACATAAGAGGTCGTTCATTATTAAGTCGATACCTATACCTTCTATAGAAATCAAGAGTAGTTCGTCCTTGGCTTCTTTGCTCATTCACTTTATACACCCACGTATTATTATGTTAGTTTTATAAGAGGCGATAAATTGATGTGAAGTGATAAATTTAAATGCAAATTAAATTGCAACTTTGATTTGTTAATTATGCGCTTTTATTCTTGAGCCACTTGACGAGCTCCGACATGAATATTTATGTCTGCGTATTTTGAAACTCTGTTAATTTGTTTTGATTGAACTTTTATGTGTCCAGCAGTGCGGGATTTATGCCTCGGAAATGTCTCAACCGCCACTGGCACGATGTTGGGGAGCAAGGCCGTTAAATTTTAATGGCAACTATTACAGGCTAAGCTGTTAATTAACATTTGCATAACAGGGGCTGTTAAAGCGCAGCTTTGTTTCATTTCAAAAGTGAAATTCCCAAAATATTTGTGCATTAACAAAAAACTTTAATTGGCAAACATTTTTTTGCGAAGTTGCGATTAAGTCAGTCGCCAATGGAAAAAATAGTATCGTACCTACAATTTTATCAACTTGCACGGTTGTTAGCTCTCCAATCTTGTGGCCTCACTGTGGTTGTTGTAAGCGAAAAAATTAAACGATTTATGTTTTTTTAATTAACCCAACAATTTGTTACGTGCGTCACACACACACACACGCACACTTACACGAAAAAAGCGGCAGCGATTCCAGCCCGGCAGGCAACCCACCAAAAGGCACCCGTCGCACAGTGGTTCGATAGTCGCACGAATTGTTTGAAATAAAAAAATCCTGTTTCTAATAATTGCATGACTATTGAGTATACTTTACCAGAATAAGATACGAATTTATGGATTGCTGCTTTAATGCACATAATATTTGTGTATGAAGTATAGTAACAAAGAATTATAAATATAAAACCAACACATTACAGGCCACGAAAAAATCTTTCTTAAAGCTTCATTAATTTGGTTGTCACCAACCCGTCCAAACCGATCCATTTCGATTTCATTAGTTATTAGGCTATAGTTTATTTTAGTTCAGTTGCACAAAAACGATCATTCAGTTGCTAAAATAATTTATTCAATTAATGCAATTTTTTTGTTTTTAATTTATGCAGAAACATAAAGATATCAATATTTAAAGTAGGGTGTTAAGACAGTGCCATCATATATTCTAAAATTATAAGTTATAGTCAAAATATTATTAATTTTAAATACAAATGATGGCCGAACCACTGTGCATTGCCAGCATCGACATCGTCGTCATCGCTCTTAGTGAAAAGGTAGCTCCCGCTCTATGGTTAGCTGTTAGGTGCGCTGTATGGGCATAACGAATTCATATTTTGATTTATTGAATAGAAATCGATTGGATTAATCTAAAGAAATTATTGTGGCTGGCTGCTGGCTCATAGAGCGACGCATAGCGGCTGTCTGAAATTTGCTGTGCCTGTTGGTTTGATGAACCCCCAGAGCCAAAGTCAAACTTGGTTGCCAGAGTGCGACTGCGACTGCGATTGCGAGTGTGTTGAATTGAAATTAAAGAAACAGGCAGAAAACAGTTGTGGCGTGCAATTAAATTCTTTTTTCTTCCTTTTTTTTGGTCAACTGATCAACCAAGACACGCAAGTGAGTTTGAAATGGAACAGGTTTTTGTTATCATGGCTCTTAATGGCTGAGTTTTTTCCTTCAGAAAGTGTGGGGGAAGAAGAGCTGAAGCTAGTTAGAGTAAGTTGTTGTTGCAAGCAGTTTTCCAAACTAATTTGTATGATTTTCAATTTCTCTTCAATAGATGATGTCTAGCCTCAAAAATGCAGAGTTTAAAAAAAATAATAAAATGAACAGTATATGCAAAGTAGTTTTATTTAGAAGAAAACTATTATATGGTGAAGCATGCAAATTGGTTAGAATTGAAACGACATTATTGACTATATCTTAACATTTTGTCGGAATCATGAGAAGTTTTCGGTTTTATCATGGTCTTGTACAAAAAATGTTCATCTTCTTTAGAGTTCTATTCCAAATCTTATCTGATGATCATTTATGAACATAAGTCTTTAAATTAAAATATTATTGTAATTTGATTAAATTTTTTAATAATATCCCTAGTGCTTCTATATAAAGCTAGTCATGAACTGTGTGTTTTTGTGGGTTGAGTCCATTTCTATTTGTTGAAGGAAGCGAAAGAGCTTATGGCCCAGCGTTGAAGATTTGTACTGGAATGATTTGATTTATATATTTTTGAATAAAAAATACGGATCGGACCCATCTCTGGTACAAAATTTGAAAAAAGCGAATTCAATCGTTAAAGTTACAGAACTTTTGAGATTGTAGGAGCAGCCAAGCTTGAGATTTCACACACAGTTTTTGAATGTCTTTAATACTTTAATAAACAATTCAAATTATCTTTTTTTTTTAAATTTATTTACAAGCTTGATTAAAATAGTATATATATCTAGTTCTATATATATTAGTTCTATATATATTAGCTTCTAGCTGTTCAATCTAGACTTATTCCTATAACTTGGGCTCTATTTATGCTAGTCATTAGCATAGATTGCTTTTATATTTTAATCCATGACTAAGGGCCATTAATCGAGCGCTA